CCAGATAACTTCAGCTGGATTGGACAATCATTGAACACTGCGCAAGATTGCAAACAGTGACATCTCCCGCACCGACATTCAGGAAATCGTAGGAAGCGCCTTTGCAGGCTGCAGCCAACTGCAGTGCATCAAATTGTCTCTGAGGCGCATTGGCAGAGAAGCCTTCAGGAAGTGAAGCTCATTAGAGGTCCTACACACTCCACCCGCCCTGTAAAACATCAACAAGCGAGCTTTTCCTGATTGTACACAGCTCTGCAGACTCGTCCGGATGGGCAAGACATGCAAGAAAGGAACGTGGAGGGGGACTTATGTTGAGCACTTTTGAAATGTGCACCAAATTAACACTCCCAGTGTGGATTCGACCTCTTCCAAGCCAGATGCAGTGAAAGAAGAGTGAGAAGAATTCATTTGGTTCATGGAGCTTGCGTGACAGACTGAACTCTGAAGCTCGAGTGACCCAGGGCTACAGCGGCACCCTCCTTTGGCACAACTCGACACCACGCTTGCTTATTTGCCTGTGCAATGGCCATACAGGTAAGCTGTCTGAGACGGACGGTCCATCCTGCCTGTCGACCAACATCCCCAGTGCACTAGGGACGAGCCAAGACATGAGTATGCTGAAGTTTTGCTTCGTAGTGGTGAAGTGCTACTGCCTCATTCTGGGTCACTGTGTGACTCCCTAGGTTCTTTGCGCGTACGCATTCTTTGATACAATGGACCCAGCCGAACCTGAATTGCACCTCACTCTCGCTTTCAGTATGCTCAGGCATTTCCACATACAGTGCACCGCTGCAGGAATACACTCCTGCCCAAACGCAGATTGCACCAGAATGCAAGTTCGCCCGCGACGTCCTCCACTGAGAGCGGCTGGATATGAATTCATCGCCCCGTTTCACTACTGTGTTGGTCCTCGGATCTGCACCTTTTGCTCTTTTAGACTCGTACGGACTTGAGCCTGACCCTTTTGTTCTGGTTTGTTCTGGTTTGTTTGTTGTTTTGGTTGGTGTGGTTTTTTGGTTTTGGGGTTTGGTTTGGTGCTGCTGGTCTTGATTGTCAGGCTCATCTCGCGTACCCCCATCTGAATTCGACTGTGCCTCTCGGCACACATAGCGCCCACACCCGTGCAAAAAAAACACAACCCGCCTGCCAGGGACAAGGAGCTCAGGCTCATCCTGTGGGCTCACAAAGTCGTGGGTGATGAGGGCAACAAAGTGACTCTGTTTGGTCACCGAAGGCTGGCAAGCACTCAACAGGTGGGAGAAGATGCCTTCCAGACACTATGTGATTGAGCATTCATGAGCCCTAGGGTACTGCTTCTCCCTTCACCGCCTTACTAGGAAACCACTGCCCACTAGGGAGTCACCACTGTACTAGAGAACCACTGCCCCACTAGGGGGAACCACTGCACTGCTGGGCATCGCTGCCCCACCACGAAACCATTGCCCTTCTAGGGATCCACCTCCCAACTGGGGAGCCACCGCCACCAGGGAACGACTGCCCTAGAAGGAGAATAGAGCAAGAAGCTTTCTTCCAGTGCGCCTCACTGCAAGAGGTCTGTCCCCACCATCCCTGCTTCACACAGCGAAGCGGACTTTTGCAGGTTTCACGCAACTTCGCGCATTCTGTAAAATTGGGAAGAGCACGACTTGGAGAGGGACGTATGCCCGGATTAATGCCTTTGACAAATGCGAGCAACTAGACAAGCCCACATGGCTCCGCTTCTTGCCGCCAAATGCCAAAGACCAGTGGAAAGAAGATTTTACAGGTGGCTCCTTAGGGCAATGGTTCCCTGGTGGGGCAGTGATGCCCTAGTTGGCTCCCCAGCAGGGCAGTTGCCTAGTGGGGCAGTGGTGACCAAGCAGGGCGGTGACTCTCTAGTAGGGCAATAGTTCCCAAGTGGGGCGGTGGATGTGGGCACGTTGGAATTCATCGCCCCTGTCTCACCCATCTTCGTGCCTTTATGGCTTTACGAGTTACTTTACAGGTTGCCCCTGCGGTTTTGTGTTTGGTTTTGTTGGGGGGGTGGTTTTGTGTTTGTTGCTTTTTAGGTTTTGTTTTGCATCGCAACCTGGCTGGTAACTAGATCTTAAATCGACTAAGGTGACTTGTGCAAAACCTGCACACACAGCGCCTCCACTCGTGCAAAAAAATAGTGGGGCGGTGGATGTGGTTCCCTAGTAGGGCAGTGGTTCCCAAGCAGGGCGGTGGCTCCCCAGTGGGGAGGTGGCTCCCTAGTAGGGTGGTGGCTCCCTGGCAGGGCAGCAGTTCCCCAGTAGGGCCGTGGATCCCAAGCAGGGAGGTGGTTCCCTGCTGGGGCAACGGCTCCCTAGTTAGTGGGGCAGTGGTTCCCTAGTAGGGCGGTGGTTCCCTAGTAGGGCAGTGGTTTCCTAGTAGGGCGGTGGTTCCCCAGTCGGACGTGGTTCCCTAGCAGGTCTAGGGCGGTAGTAGGTAAGTGGTTCACTAGTAGATAAGCTATTCATTATTATATATATATATATTATATAATAATCAATAGTATATTTGTATTGCAAAAATAAACTATTTCTACATTGTGTATTTATCTTGCATTATCAAATATGTTCACGGGCCATGTGTGCATCGTTTCCGAAGATGAGAGAAACATTTTGGAGCAACGAATAGGAACTTCTATTTTGAGGCGGGCTTGATTGACAAACTAGTTATTTGCATATGAACAATTATGTTTAGTTTTGATTCAATTCATTATATGTTTGAACGTTTCTGCTGCTACTGTGAGGCCAAGAGAGTTCAAATGGAAACTATCGCCAAAGATCTTCTTGGCAACAAAACATACTTCAACGGTCACAAGAACAAGGGCAGGCCAAGTTCAAGTGTTTGCTAGAATCCATGTTGAAGATGTGACATCCACTGATATTTTCAAAAAGGAATCCAGATGAAATTCGGAAGTTGCTGCGATCAGAGCAGAGCCTCGTGGTGTATGCTTGGGATTTGTCGACAGTGGAGTTGTATTCTACATGTCACATTGTGCACCTTGCCAAATCAAAACTGCATTTGGGCATGCATCATGTATATGCTTCAATGCCGTTCTACAAATCAAATGAGGAGGACTGAAGCAACATATTTTCAAGTATGTGCAACATTTTTTTATGTTTGATGATACATTTTAGGTTTTTCAGTGCAAGTCATTTGGAAACATACTTGCATACTTGCAGGATGCGGATTCCGATGCTCAAGAATTTGCAGAATCATCAACATCTTCATCCAGCGCAGTCTTGAACAAAGTTCCAGAATGCCCACCTCCTACAGAGCTCAAAACATTTGGACAGGACTGGACTCTGGTGACTGGGTGTTCGGTTGCGCTTTTAATACTTATTGTTAATTGTTAGCCTTGTTAGCTCAATGATTGTTTCCACATATGTATTCAACAATGCTTTTGTCATACATATTATTTTGTATTCCAGGACTATTTGGGCATTGGTGTGAGTGAAAAAGATCAGCAGAAAGATCTATTGGAAGAGTGTGTACAATCAGCTGCGCAATCTACGCCAATGGCAGTGGAGAATTCTTTTAAAGAAGATGTTCCGATGGAGGCAAAGGCTCTTGAGCGGTATGCTTGTTTTAATCGCTTTCAAGATATTTGTTTTTAGTTGTGTTTATGTTCAACACCTTCGTTCATACGCTTAGTGTTTTCTTTGTCAGGATCTGGATTCAGAAGGTCATCAAGCTATGGACAACCAGAAGTTGAGCATTGAGGTTGAGTTGGAACGTATCATAGATACCACTCCGAACCTTGAGTATGTGACAAACGTTGACAATGATGCACAGAATCATTCCAAACCTGAAAGAATCAATTCCGAGACGAAGACAGAATGCACTGATGCCCAAGTTGATACAGCAGCCAATCAAACTTTGGAGAAGCGGGCCTTTACACCAAATCAATCGTCTGAGACAAGAAGAGCTCGAGCTTTGAAAAGAAGATTCTCTTCGCCCGGATCTGCTGTATCTTCTTGTCATAGCAACTACAGCGGATTTGCATTTGTTCCTGAATTTGGAGAACCAGCAGCTCATCCAGACGAGAAAGAACAACAACTTCCAGCTGATGAAGACATTGACCCTGAGGATGTTCCATTTGCAGACTCCAGGAACTCAAGTTGGACTGTGAAAAACATTGATGATGCGATGTCATGACCAACCCGTCACACAAATGTTCTTTTGAACAGGAAGAAGGAGATGGAAGTGTCCTATCGTGGTGAGTTTGATTCATCAGATTCTGAAGAGGAGGACTCTACAAAGAAACATTTGCAACGAATTATGAGAGCATTTGATTCAGTTCCTATCTCCACCGCATTTAGCGGTATTGATGCACCATCTACTGGATTGCGCCGACAAATCTCAGAGTTGAATGCAAGGACAAAGGGCTGCAGTACTCGCAAACCTTTGCACCTGCACGGAATAGAATGGTTTGCGCCTTCGCAGGGTGAGCTTCTTGCACATCCATGCCATCCTGGTTGCCTCTTTGGAGACATCACTATGTTTCTCTCTCCTTGCTTGAGAATGATGTTCTCTGAAATGGTCAACAAAGGCAAACTTATGGAGATTTTGAAGCCGATGATCAGCGATGGAAAGGCCATTACAACGAACCATGACTGGATAACAAGTATACTTTCAGCAGTCTACTAGTCTACTATGTGTGTATTCTTTAGCATAATTATAGATATTTTATTTTTTCATACACCAACACAACAAAGTTCAATACTGTTGTATTTTTCTAGCCACTCATTCTGAGGAAATCTTTTTGCATTGTCCACCAACAGGAATGTGATCTTCGTAAGTGGGGCGTTGGATTGATCCACAAGGCAGGAACAAGCTGCATTGCATGGAGCGATATGGGCATTCAAGAAGGTTTGGACGCAGAGTCAACAGGACACTTTCTTATTTGGTGCGGCTTGCGTCTTGAACTTCAAGAACCAGTGGTAGTTCTTGAGAATGTATTGAAGTTTCCTCGATGGCTTCTTGCAGAGATGCTACACATGTATTTCATTGACTACATTGTGCTGAGCCCATCGCAACTGGGATGGCCTATTTCCAGAGAGCGTCAGTTTTGTGTGCTTTTTGGCAGCAAGTAGAACCATTTCTTTGAATGTACAAGTTGAATAGTTGTTGAGTTGTTGTGTCTGAAGTTCTGGAAATCAATACAATGAGTCTTTTCGATTCAGGTTAAGACACAAGCAGAAGACTCTCAATTTCAGAAGCCCTTTGCACTCCTTTGTCTCTATGTTCAACAGATGCTGCAGATCATCATGGGTGATGTTCTTTTGGGAGAATTTCCGATTTGCATTGATAAGTATGTTTTTGTATTTATTGTTTAATTTTGATATTCCATATATTCCGACGATTTGTTTTAGCGCAGCAAAGCCCAGCTTCAAACAGCCAAGGACTGCAAACAAGGTGCTCCAGGAAGAATTGGATTGGTCAGTTTCCCGGCCAAGTTCTCGAGCAAATGGCCAGTCACTGAACATCAGTGACAAACAAGCTTTCATCAAGAGCCTCACTGCGAATGAGTACGACTTCTACCTGAAGTACCGATCTCTTGCTCCTCGGGGACTTTACAGCCTGAACCAGAATCCACGCGTGAGGGGAATGAAGTCAAAGCTGAACCAGGAGACAAAACAAATTATGTATGTGTTTGTTTTTGTTTCTTTAACCCAATATATTGTTTCTGTTATGTATGTGATTTGCTCAAGGGAGATTGAATAGACTCCAGTTCATAATTTGTTACACTGTTGTAGGACATGTCAACGTTGATCAAGAGCGGTACACTGTGGTTCTCAGACTATCATTCCAGATGGTTGTCTGCAATGGAGGCATTGACATGCCAGGGGTTTCCAGTGCACGCCAAGTGGAGCTATGGTGAGCCGTGCTGCAGCTTTGCAATGCGAAATTTAGGATTGTCCACCGCACCACTACCTGGACGCTCTGCTATCATTGGACAAGCTGGAAACAGCACACACACAAGCATCAGCTTGCATCCTTACATATTGCCTCATGGAGATCAAGATTGACAAATTCGCACGGGCTTTGTTTGTTGGTGGCGTGTCAAGACTTGCAGCTTCCATCAACATTGCCTATTCAACTTTGAAGTGTTCACGCGCAGAAGCTGCGACTGATGCAAAGCCTGAAGAGGAGAAGAATGATCAGACGGATTCTGCTTTTTGAAAGACATATATACTTATATATGTCATATATAAGTATGTATCATGTATAATATACATTTGGGTAATGAAAGCAATGACATAAGGTTTCCTAAAGCTGCCAACCAATCGAAATCTTTTGCAAACTAACAGAATCCGCTCCTCAGCCTGGTCTTTTATAGAATCTTCTCACAGATGCGTCAGATGCGTTGAAAATCATAAGCTCAACCTCAAGTAGTATTGAAGGATGCTATGTTGTTGGTTTGCTGCGACTTTTCTCATTCATGCATTGTCAGTCAGTCGTCAGTCAGTAGATGGTTTGTGGAATGGTCAGTCAACCACTGGTCACTACCACGTGACCATGTCATGTCATGTTGAAGTATGTTCAACAATGATTGCGAACTCTGAGCCAAAAATCTCAATGATACTTGGCCCAAGGATTGTCATTGCAGATTACATAGTTTATGTGAGCAAGGTCCAAGGTGAATCAACACATTTAGCTAGGAACAGTCAGACCAAATGGTGGAATCGTCACATTGCAATTTGCACTGGTAGCGGTCATTGTGTTTGCACTCAAAAAGCGAGAGGGTTCATTTTGTGCTGCGATTCTTGGGACGCTATAACCTCGGTGCATTGGTGCATTGGGTCGCACTACATGGAGCCTACATCGGCAGGTCAAGCAGCGCAACAGACGCCTTCTCCAATGCCTGCGCCTTCAAACCATGAAACAGCAGCCGCAGAAGCAACTTCAGGAGCTCCAGGAGTTCAAGTTCATCATCCTAGTCCTCCTGGTCAACAGCCATCCACTCGAGCTGCGCAGCTGAAAAAGCAGTTGTATGATCCAGACGCAAAGCTTGTTGATCTTTTTGGTGATCTGGAGCCAAAATTGATGCTGGATGAGATTAACCAAATGTTTTGGGCCGCTAGACATTGAACATTTTTCTGGAAATTTTTGGTTTGTGATTTGTGTGCTTGTGTGCACTATGATCGATTTGTGTTTTGTTTGGTATGCACCTTTGTTCAGTGATCAGTGATCTAAGAAGCGGCGTGAACGCCTTCCTTGGTTCTACCACGTGAATGGTCCAACAGGGCAGGAGTTGCGCTTCTCATTCGTTCGTGATCCTGTCAATGACAACCGGAAACAAGCCATTGTCAATGCAATGGTTAAGAGCATTGAATCGAATGGTGTAGTGGCAGATGCACGTGGGAAGATGTGGTGCATTGACCGAGCTGACAACGATTCGTGTCTTGTTCAAATATGTCTGCGTGTTCATGATGTTCAAGTTTAAGGAAGCCTTGCCAATGTGCCAATCAGTGCTTGGAATGAGTCCAACCATTGGTGATTTGAGGCCATATCAATGCTTGTCCTGGGGCCACATGAATCTTGTTGTGAGAGACATTGAAAGTTTTTTAATGTTGCAGTGTGGTGTGGCTCTGTGTTGTGTGTGACACAAGATTGTATTCTCTTCAAGCTCTTCCCATCAAGGACTGAAGCTTTAAAGATTGCACACGAAAAGAATATTGCAAACGGCAGCAAGAATGCCATGATCACAAAGAGTGTGGCTGATGGTGTTGAAGTTGAGATTTTTCTGAAATGCCGTTGGAAGCCAAAGAGTTCCTGGTGAAGTTCCACAATGGCCTTGATGAGAAGAAGGACATCATGGCACAGCTCAAGCTTGTTCGCAAAGTGTCTTGTCTGAAGATTCTGAAGACGTGATTTAGTAATTTGGACAGTTGTGACAGTTGAGATAGTGGGAGGAAGTGCGCTCTACGTGTTTGTGAGGCAGAGGCCTCTTGGCGTCTTTACCGGCAGAATCTTCACTCTTCAGCCCGCCAGTTTAAAAGTGCTGGGTATGAGCAAGAATACTGGAGGTTTGTCAGCAATAGGTTCGTTGGTGTTTGGAGGCAAGGCTTCTGAATTCAGTCATTGATCATTAGCTGGTTTGATGTTTGTGTTTTTGTTTAATCGATGTACATGTTTTGCACTTGTTTGTTTGTCTGTCACTTTCACTGCACTGTCAAACTGACACACTGACAGGTCCTTTCGAGCCTTCGATGCTTGCAAGATCACAGCCAATGTCTTGAGCAGCTTGAACTTGCTGGATGTTGCAGTTCAAGAGATGAATAATGGCGCTGACATTCTCAGAAGTGGTTTTTCACCAGAAACAGCTTTTGCAGCCATTCACAATGTCTTGAGCATCCTAACCCAGAACGTGGCCGATGATGTGGAGAACAGGCGGGGTTTTCCAAACACAGACAAATTTGTTGGTCGTGGAGTCTAAGTAGAATTGCTATGCTCTAGTCCTAGTGCAAAGAAGCTCTTACATTCTGTGACATTCCTCAAAGATCAGGCATCACTTCGAAATTTTGGCTTGGGAAGCTATCAAGTTTGCTGTAACTTGAAAGACTTGTAGCAAGTTTTGTGTCTCACTTCAACTTTTTTGTTGTGGTGGGTGGTAAATCTTTATGATTCTATGGAATGGACAATGTTTGGTTCTGGGTTGCATGATTTCCTTCAAGGTTCCTTGGCTGGACGAGTACTCGGAGGCCGTGGAGTGGATCTTCGACAGAGCAAAACCTGATCTTGCGTCTCATGGTCGCAAAGATGGAGGGAGCAGCAATCATTGCAGACAATCCGCAGCCAAAGGCCAAAGCGAAGGCCGCGGCCAAGGCCAAATCTAAAGGTAGCCAAAATGGTGCCAGCGTTGATAGCTTCAGGCTGTGCTCAGAAGAAGTAGCAACACTTCACACAAATGGATCGAAACGGGTGAAGACCTTTGTGGACGTTGTCTTGGGATCAGCGTCTTATGTCACCAATCTCATTGATCGAGACTTTGGCAATGCCTGTTCGCGGAATATGTTTCTTTGAAGCAATGGCAAGTTGTTTGGTTTCAACCATTTTCAATACATTTGGATTTGAGTTTGCCTTTAGTTGCCAACTTTGCTGTGTATTCTCTCAAGACTCTTGCGAAAGGACTACTGCGGCTCAGAGAAAGCTTCTGGGAAACTTTTTCAGTCGGATGCTCCACTTTGCTTTCACAGGAAAGTTTGACTTGGGCGATGGCAAGATTGTGATGTCGTATTCAAAGATGAAGGCCCACGCGATGGCTGATCTATATACTTCGATTCTGAAGCACGTTCTTCCTTCATTCACGGCGATTGGTTCTGATGATTCGATGGTTGAGAAGCTTCAAAGGTTCTTGTCTGATGTGCACCCAAAGGACTCCTCCACCGCCGCCAGTTCTTCCAGTTCAAAACCATCAACTGGTGTTGGAACAAAGAACGATGTCAAACCCTTAGTTGCAGCTCCCAGCGGTTATAATCATCTCCAATGTTTGCATGCATCGTTGCATTAATACCAGTGTGGTTTTGTATGTGTTGCTTCAATTTGTTGATTCAGGCTTCATCTTCGATCGTTGAGACTGACAAGAATCTGAAAGCCTTTGTTTTTTTCGTGCAGGAAGGATTGGGTGTTCCCGAGTGCAAAACTCCATCAGAATTTGGGCCAGCGATTGCAAAGGCATTGAATGAGATCAGATCGTGCCCAGGCTTTACCTAGGTTTGAGTCGCTTGTTTCTTTGCTTTTTGTGTTGGATGTGAAAGTGTTTGATATCATACCAATTACAACAATTAGCATGCACTCAGCTTTGATACAGGACATTGGATGAGGGACACCTGACAGCCTGACACTTACTAAACAATGAAAAACTTGTTTTGAATCAGGAACCCAGCCCGAGCTCCTGTGTTCCGCAATATGATGCTGAATTGTCGCCAACAATGCGGCTGCAAAGAAGTCGATGGAGAATACATGTAGCTTGACAGTTTTAAGGTTTAAATGGGGATGTATCTCCCTAGTAACTATGGAAGTGTTTACTTCCCTAGGTGGTATATAGTTCAAGTTGTCTTATTTACATGGGGAGGTAGCTCCCTAGTAGGAGAACACATTTCACTAGTCTTATGGTTTGGACTCGGACTAGCTGGGAGAGAGTTTACTAGGGACCATGGACTAGGGAACATGATTCCCATTAGTATAGATATTGAATATTTATTTTTTGTTTGTTTAGTTTTTTGGTTTGCACTCCTGTCTAAACCACCAGCAACACTTACCATCTGAGTTCATCAGAATGTGCTTTGCATTCATCCAATACCACCGCTTTGGACTTGAGCTATGAGACTGGAAGGATCGTGTTTCAGCAGTGGCCAACGTTGGTGAGCATTTATATTGATGCATTGGTGAAGGAATATTCAGTGAAGTGGGAGCTACCAGAGATTCTTCGCACAATGGCGGTTTCCAACGAGACACTCCTCGACTTGAAGCAGTTGAGATCGCAGGCAATGCTTGGAATGCTTACCTTTGCGTCCTATGAAGCCAAGACTGCTCACGCAATGGTTCATGGCAATGTGTCTTGATTGCGTAGTTGGAAGCCATCCATGGAAGCCATCCATCTCAAGAGCTGGCCAATAGCCACTGTGTGTCAGTGTGTATCAGTTGTATGTTGTAGGTCAGATGTATGCCGTTAGTTGTTGCTGCAAAATCAATTTAGCATCTATGTGTGTTTCAATTTCATATTTATTGATGCTCTGCTGAGGGTGAAAAAGGAGAAGAAAGGGATAAGTCGGACTACAGTCACCTTTGGCTTCACCACATGATTGAGATCTGCGAAAGCAAAAGGGTTGCAAGAGCACTATCAGATTTGGACATACTGACTCAGGATCGTCAATCCTTTGTGACGTACTGGTCAAAGCTCTTGGAGACTGGAATGAAGACAAAGGACTCTTGCAATCCTCTTGAGAAGAAACAATTGGAAAAGGTTGCTCGCATGCATTTACTAGTAGGGCAGTGGTTCCCTAGTAGGGCAGTGGTGACCTAG